TCCTCTACCATAACTTTCCAATTTCTAAACATATGCAAAAAAGGACACACCAAATCCCTTCTCAAGAAGAAAATCTACCCATTCCAAACCAATTTCTGCCCCGTTATAAGCAATTCAGGATCTAAGTGAAGATTCCAGATTTGATAAGAGGAAAAAAACACATGTCTGAGACTTCCTTCTCACTCCCCCCGCCCCCAATTCTCGCTCCCCATAGCAACCCAAACTTGGAGGCCATTCAATATGGCGAAAATCCCAATCTCTGCTGCCGAGAATGTACTTGGACTTTCAAATGCAAATACCAACAGAAGCCGAACATATGGCGGAGGTTAGCTCTTATTTTTCCTAATTAAATGGCGCACGGCTGTTTTGTATAACAGTGTTAATAGGGCAGCCGCCAGTTTTTTTGGAAGGGAGACCAGTGCAAATTTTTGGGGGGGGAGACAAAGGGGGAAAAGAAAACCGTCGAAAAGAAATTGGCAGAGTTGGAGGGAGAAAACAGAGCCCAAAACGGCGCTCGTCTCGCCGCAATCGATGCAGCCGTTTGCGACGGCGCAAAGCCAGTTTGGAGGAAAGGCAAAACCTTGGTGATCAGAAGACCGGAGGGTGAAATTATGGCCTTCTGGGGGTGTGTGAAATGGCACAGAATTCCATTTTGTTTTCATGAAGGTTTTTCCCAAAACGGAAACAGAACTCAGGGTTCCGAATTACGAATCCAAATGGCCCTCCTCCTAGAATCTTCCCCAAAACAAGAAGGGGGGGGAGGCGGGGCGGACAATTTGTAAGGAAAACAAAACGAAAACAGAATGGATTCACACACCCCATGCCTTCTTTAAACAGCTCAAGGTCTGCTCAGGAAAGGATGGTTGCGACTCCAAAAGGGTCAATATTGGTTGAATGTCCGAACAAACATCTGGATACTGAAAAGGTTCAGCATTGGTGCCAATTGCTGAAATAGGTCTTGGGGGTCTCCTTCTCCGGACGTCTTCAGTAAAGAGGTTGGATAGCTCTCTCTTGGGGTCCCCTCCAACACTTAAAGACATCTACTGAGGGTCGCATTTTTAAGAAATTAAGTCATGATAATACAGCCGAATCCTGGAAAACGCATGCGGCGCCGCGCCAGGGTGGAAGCGGTAATGCTGAAGCGGTTGCCAAGGCCATTTGATTTAGAGCTGTTCTCTTGCTCTCTCTCTCTCTCTCTATATATATATACACACACACACACAATTTATACAGACATACACATATACATGCACACAAACACACTACAAAAATGGCCCACATTTCTTCTTTCCAAGGTTCTGTTGAACTCGTTTTCGTACTTGCCAGAAATTTGAAAAAACCGAAGGCCGTGACCCTTTTGTTATTGCCATTTGATACCAACCCAAAGAATGGAAACACAACAAATCACGGGTTTGAGAGCATGTCGAAATAAATTATGCTGTCTCAGTTTTTGCACAGAGTAACATTGCTTATCTTTATTATCTATAGCTATATATCTACATTCAATCGATATAATAAAAGTGAAAAGACATTTTTATGTATGTATGTTTGTGGGCAATTTCTAAGATGGCTCCCACATCTGGAGAGCACTGTGACTCCTGCCAAACTTGGCACATAGACTACCCATGACCAACTGAAACTACAGACGGTTTTTTTTTTTTTGGGGGGGGGGGTTACTTTGGATGATGGGAGTTGTTGTTCATCCACATCCAGGAACCACTGCAAACCTGCCAACGATGGAACTGAAACAAACTTGGCACACAGACCCACAATACAATACAATACAGACCCAACTTTTAATACTAATGAAGTCAGGGAGGAATCGACCTTGGATGATGGGGGTCGTAGTTCTCCACATCCAAAATACTTAATCCAGGCATCGCCGGATATCTAAGCTACTATATAATAAAAGTCAAAGTATCTATGAATGTATTTTCCAAGACAGTTCCAACTTCCAGAGAACACTGTGACTCCCACCAACAATGGATCTGAACCAAACCTGGCACATAGACCACCCCCCCATGACCAACAGAGAATACTGGAGGTTTGGAGGGGGGCTGACATTGGAGACTGGGAATTATAGTCCACCAACTATCAAAGAATTCAACTGATGATATATCTGGATCAAACCTGGCACACAGACCTATCATGAGCAACTCTAGATAGTGACCGGGTTTGTTTTTTTTTTGGAGGGGTGTGTGACTCTTGATGATGGAAGTTGCACTCCGCCCACATCCCATCAGCACTATGGAGAGGGAACGATGAAAAAAAATGACTTATTTCTATTATTTTAACTGGTTATGTGTGCAAAAACTGGCAAAACTCCCGGTCCAGATGGAAGTCATTTTCGTCAGGTGGAGAAACACTTTTGTCCTCACAATAAGGGGCAGAGGGAAGGGGGGGGGGTGTTCTTTTTTCACGTGGAAGGAGGCATTGTGGTTCTTTATTTAGCAGACAAAAGGCAGGGGGAAGAATCCCAGGAAGGGAAAGCTCTGCCCATCAAAAGCAAGGCCAACTTTTGTATTGTGTTGGAAGGAGATCAAAGTACAATGGGTGAACCATTTACCCGGGGGGGGGGGGGGGGGGAGGTACAAATGTGGTGTTTAGACATGCATAATCCGACCCACGCTGTATTGTTTATTCCCTAACCTTTCATTAGGAAATAATGAAAAGGATGCAGGTTGAGACCATGCAAGCCCTGGACCCCACTCTGGCTGACCCCGAAAACCCCCATTTTTCCCCACCAAAAAAATTAAATTAGTGCAACTTCTGAAATGCCCCCCGAACCAGCCAGAAAATGCAATAATCCCCAAATCCATACAACAACAAAACCGATATTACCAGATATTTCTGTTCTGTCTCGAAATGGGGACAGGAAGTGATGAGGGGTCACTTCCTGCTGCCATTTTGAGAGGGAAGAGGGGAAAATTTTCAGGGGAGATTGTGGTCTAAGGAGAGGTGGGTAAGAAATAATAAAATGTATTATATTATTATGAAGGCACAGAAATCAATTTGTGCGCCCTTTTTGAGGATATTTCTCGGATTCGGTCATTTGTCAAAATCACCGCAAAGGCATTCCAAGTTTCGGGGAATATTTTGAAACATAAACTAGATGCATTTTGGTTCGAAAATGAAGGATATCAAAGAAGGAATGAAACTCATCAGACGCAACATGCTCCGGGCAAAAAGGAGCGGCTCGTTCACGGATTTTCATGGCCCGGAGTCTCAAAGTCTCATACGTGTTCATACGTGTTGTAATCCAAGAAGACGTACAGTTAGTCACCCCCCCCCCTTTCAATTTAAAGTTTAAAAACGTCCCTGGAAAAGTTCTGGAAAGAAAGGAAGTCAAAAAGAGGGGAAATCCCCGAACTGAGAAGGCGGACTAAGAACAAAAAAGTTAAGGGATTTCCCCTCTGCTTTGAACTTTTCTTTGAAAAAGTCTGAACTTTTGGTACGAAGGTAATGTATTGCATAAGGCCAGAGAGGAAAATAATAATAATAATAATAATAATAATAATAATAATAATAATAAATTTACGAACAAGAATAATTATAATTGTAATAATAATAATTTAATAAATTCAATAATAATAATAATAATAATAATAATAATAATAATACATTAAGGGATTGTCCCTCAACTATGAACCTTTTCTAAAGTGAAACGTGAACTTTTCATATAAAAGTAACTTATTGCCTAAGACCAGAGTGCAAAATCTATATCCACAATAAAAGTGAAAATATGTATATGTGTATGGGGTGCCCACTTCCACAGACAGGCTCTCACTTCCACAAACACATTAACCTACAGTGCTGAGGAGCCACCAAAAGCCCTTCTTCCAATGACATTTCAAGTTATAGTGAGCGCCATGAACATGTAGCCCAACCCCTGCTAATGTCCTCCCCAAACACCATACTGCCCACTACCCAAGGAATGCTTTCATTCAGGGACAAATCATCCTAGATTTTACGTGTTTCCTCCACCACAGACATCACAGTGTTTCCGACTCTCTCCATTGGTGTGGAATTTCCATGATCCCGCCCACTGTCTCTCCCTTAACCCTTTTGTACTCTTTTCAACTGCACAACAAACAGAGCAGAACTAATCAGCAACTAAACACACTGGAGGAGTTTGGGGGACTGACTCCACATGATGGAAGTTGTAGTTCAACATGCATCAAGACAGAGCACTGTGACCCCCACTGACAATGGGCCCAGACCACATTTGGCACACAGAATCCCCATGAACAAAGAAAAATCCTGGAGATGTTTGGGGAGAATTTACCATGATTTATAGCCGTTGTCGGTACTGGGATGTATAGTTCTCCTGAAATCAAAGAGCACTCTGGACACCACCAAAGATGACCCTGGACCTCACTTGGCACACAGAACCCCCATGACCAACAAAAATACAGGAGGTCTTTGGGGGAAATTCATCTTGATTTATAGGAATTATAGTTCACCTGCATCCAGAGATACGTAAACAATGATGGATCTGCACCAAATATGGCACATATACTGATAAATTTGAAAACTGGTGGGTTTTGGGGGAAATTGGCCTTGACATTTGTTAGTTGTAGGTACTGGGATTTATAGATTACCTGCAATCAATGAACACTCTGAACTCCACCAAAGATGGAATTGGACCAAAGCTGGCACACAGAGCCCCCATGACCAGGAAAAAAAATGGAGGTCTTTGAGGGAAATTCATTTTGATTTGGGGGAGTTGTAGTTCATCTACATCCAGAGAGCACTCTGAACCCAAACACCGATGGTTCTGGACCACACTTGGTACCCAAGCTAGTAATATAATAAATTCCATAATAATAATAAGTTAAGGGATTTTCCCTCTGCTTTGAACTCTTTCTAAAAAGAAACACGAACCACTTTTTGTACAAAAGTAATGTATTGCCTAAGATCAGAGCACAAAATAATTGTAATAATTGTAATAATTTGTAATCATAATGCAATAATAACAAATAATTTTGCATAAGCCTCACCTGATCCACCAAACTGAGTGCTGGCCAGAGTCGTGGGTCTGTTCTTCCCATTCGCAACAGGAAGTGGAAACATCTAGAATAAATAATAAAATAAAATAATAAATATACGAATAATATTATATCAGTATAATATATAATAATATACATATATATACTAATACAGATAATATATTAAAATAATATATCTCTTTTATCTTGCCCTGACCTCTTCTAGGATTCTATAGCCCAGTGGTTCTCAACCTGGGGTCCCCAGATGTTTTTGGCCTACAACTCCCAGAAATCCCAGCCACTTTACCAGCTGTTAGGATTTCTGGGAGCTGAAGGCCAAAAACATCTGGGGACCCCACGTTGAGAACCACTGCATAGCCCTATTCCTCTCCAAGAACCTGCTTCTGGCTATGAGGGTTGGGTGGCCCTCTGCTGGGAGGGATCAGATGGTGCCTTCCTTCATTAAAGAGGTTGGGCTGGATGGCCTTTGGGGGCCCCTTGCTGCTCAATGCAGAGCTCATAAGGCCTCCTTATATATATCTCAAGGCTCTGTCTCTCCTTGGACCCAGGTCAAATGACCCACATGCATTTCTGAGGCTAAGCAGGGCCTGCCCTAGATGTTATTTGGATGGGAGTCCTCCTGCCTACCATGCTGAAGTCCAAGAGGTCACTCAGCTCCTTGTCTGTCCCGGCAGCCGCCATCCTCTGTTGTGGATTCATCGTCCCAAAGGATTTGAATGCCTAATAATAATAACAACATGAAATGATATTGTAATATAAATTAACAGTAAGAATAACAACAACTTTATGTCAGCATGGACTTAGCTCTCTCTCTCTACACACACGTGTGTATACTTTTAGATTACTTTAAATATATTATTGTAGATATACACAGAATAAAAGTGAAAAATATGTATACACATAATAAAAGTGAAAAATGTGTGTATGTGGTTGGAGTGTCTACTTACACAGACAAGCTCCTGCCTCCGCATACAGCTGTAGCTCCCACTACTCAGGAGACAACAATGCCCCCCCTCCAATGACACTGGTGGTTATAGTGAGCGCCATGAATATGTCCAAGAGCCCTGCTATTGTCCTCCAGAAACACCATCCTGCCCACCACCCAAGTGAAAGCTTTTATACGGGAACAATTTCATCCTAGATTTTCAGTTTTTCCTCCACTACAGACATCCCAATCTTTCTGGCTCTATCCATTGGTGTGGAATTTGCATGATCCCGCACACTGCCTCTCCCTACACCCTTTCCTATTGTTTTCTAAGGCACACAGCAAACAGAGGAATTGATCAGCAACTGAACATACTGGGGAGAATTCACCATGATTTCTAGGAGTTGTAGGTTCTGGGATGTATAGTACACCTGCAATCAATGAGCACTCTGAACTCCACCAATGATGAACCAGGAACTAACTTGGCACACAGAACCCCCATGACCAACAAACAATACTGGATGTCTTTGGAGGGATTTCTAGGAGATGCAGTTCACCGACATCCAGAGTGCACTATGAACACAAACAATGATGGATCTGGACCACATTTGGCATGCATACCCGATATGCCCAAATTTGAATATTGGTGGGTTTTGGAGGTTATTGGTGTGGACATTTTGGAGTTGTAGGTACTGGGATTAATAGTTCACCTGCAATCAATGAGCACCCTGAATTCCACCAAACTTGGCACACACAGCCCCCATGACCGGCAAACAAATACTGGAGGTCTTTGGTGGAAATTCATCTTGGTTTGAGGGAGTAGTTCACCTACATCCAGAGAGCACTGTGAACCCAAACATTGATGGATCTGGACCAAAATCGGCACACATACCCAACATGCTGAAGTTTGATTACTGGAGGGGCTTGGGGGGAACTGTCCTTCTATTCTGGGAATTGTAGTTCTCCCACAACCAGAGAAAGTGACCTCCACCGATAATGGACCTGGACCAAACTTGCCACACAGAACCCCCATGACTAACTCAACCTACTGGAGGGGTTTAAGGGGACTGACTCACCATAGTGGGAGTTGTAGTTTACCCTACAGCCAGAGAGCACACAGAACCCACTGAGGATGCTTCTAGGTACTGATGGAGTTTCTGAGGGCGAACCTGGCATGATGTGAGTTGTAGTTCACCCACAAACTTATGCATTTTGTACAATTTAGAAACTGACTTTTTTTCAAATAACCTGGGCAACACTGGGGACCAAGTTTTATATATGAAATAAAAATAATATTCTATTTCAATATTATATGAAATATTGAAATCTAAAACAAAATGATATACATACATCTTAAGATGTACATGTATATCTATATAATATAAATAATATATATAATTAAAATAAAATATTAATAATATATAAAATTATATTGTATCATAAAATAATATGGTGTATGTGTGCATATATATGCCATCTTTAAAATGCATGTATGCATATATATATTAAATAATGTAGTATATAAATAATTATTTATTTTACACATATTATTTACATATTATTTGTGTATGTGCGTACATATGTATATATGTGTATGTATATGTATATATAGACATCATATAAAATATGTATTTATATCTACATGTATATGTTTATATATAATAATAATAATAATTCAATATACAGAATTTATATAGGAATATTAGATGAACAATGAAAACCTTTAAATGGGGGATGATAATAATATAGTAATATTTTATATATATATATATACACACACACACACACAATATGTAGTAATATATAATATAATTATTACATTATAAAAACAAAGGTAATATTAACATATTATTTATTAACATAGTTTATTATCATTATATATTGTCATTATTATATTTTATTTTATCATTTTTATTATATATAATTTTAAATTTATTGAATTATATATATATATATATATAGTACAATAAAAATTAAATATTATATATAATAAAAATGATAAAATAAGATATAATGACAAGAATATATAATAATAAAAACTATGTGAATTAATAATAACATAAAATGTAATATAATAAAATATAATAAAAAGATAATACATTATAATACAATAAAGTAAAATACAGTAAAATAAAATAATAAATAATAAGATTAAAACATAATAATGATAAAATATAATAAAATAATATAAGAAAAATAAAATAATGTAGAATTAGAATACAAAATAAAATTAATACAAGAAAAATAAAATAATGTAGAATTAGAATACAAAATAATAAAAATAATGTAAGAAAAAATAAAATAGCAATATAATAATTAATCTATATAAATAAAAATGTAATGTTCGTTTGTGAGATTAACATAACTCAAAATCCACTGGATAAATTGACACCAAATTTGGACACCATATACATATCAGGTCAACGAGAGACCATCACTCATAAAAACACTGAAAATCACAGCAGAAGAGAGTTAAAAAGCCAAAATTTTAAAATGCCACACATATATATATATATATATACACACACACACACACACATGTACATACAAACATACACATACATACATATACACAAAAACGTACACACACATATACACACACAAAACACACAAACACAGACTGGCCCACAGTAACGTGGGGCAGGGGACGGCTAGTAATAATAAATATGATAGGATTAAAGCATATTAATGATAAAATATAATGATAAAAATAAAATATAATCATCACCATCTCCATAACTTTCTTTTGCTTAAAAGTGTAGGAAGCTTTGGAACAAGAAAGACTTGACTATTCGGTCCTCCTTTATTTGAAATAATAGAAATGTCGTAATAAAGAAAGGGTTTTCAATAAGAAGGAGCCTAGATCCAAACCCAAAACTGGATCCAAGGAAAACAAGGCTTTTTCCAGAGACTAAATCCCCTCCAAGCAAGAAGCTTTGGCCAAAGTTCCCCTGAAGAAAGTCAGAGGCCTTTCAGTCCCTCCCCTTTAAATGTCCCTTTAAGAAGAAAGGGCCAAACTTCAACCTGCAGAGAAGCCAAAGAGACAATAAAGCTCCACGAGGCCAGAAAATGGGGGCAAAAAGGAGAGGTAAATATATAATCATCATAATATATACTAGATTATTATTATAAACGGGGGAAGTGTAGGTAAAAGGGGCCCAAGTTGAACTTATGTATCTATATGTATGTATGTGTATGTATGTATAGATAGATAGATAGATAGATAGATAGATAGATAGATATAATAACAGGGGAGTATAGAAAAAGTGACCCAAGTTGAACTTATACTTATAACAGTAACAATATACTATTATTACTATATATATGTATATATTTTATTAATAATAATAATGGGAGAGTGTAGGAAAAAGTGTCCCAAGCTGAACTTATACCTATGTATATAATAATATATGTATCTTATTAATAATAATAATAATAATAACAAGGGAGTGTAGGAAAAAGTGGCCCTGGTTGAACTTATGTACATAATAATAATCTATAATACATTAGATTATAGTCTAATTTATTATCAAGACTATGAGCCGCCTAAAGAGAGAAAAATCAGAGTAAAAAATGACTGAGAAATAGATATAATTTTAATTAATAAATAATAATCAATTATAATACATTAAACTGGTTATTGAATGAGGAAAAAGGTCCCCAAGTTAGAAGTTGCACAAAGTCAGGTATGGATCCCATTTAAGAAGAAAGAAATAGAGAGTAAAAAATGTCCTTTCAAAGTATATAATAATACTAATAATAATTCAAAGTAATAGTTTATAAATAGGAAATAACAATAATAATAATTCAATGTTGTTTGTAAATGGGGGGAAGTGTAGGAAAAAGTCTCCCAAGTTGGAAGTTGCACAAAGTAAGCTCTGGATTCAATAAAAGAGAAAAAGAGAAGTAAAAAATCACAATGAAATATTTGTGTGTGTGTATGTGTATACACACAGCATAACAACAACAATAACAACTCCTCAAATTAGTTGATCAATCAGGGGAAAGTGGTCTGGATCCCATTAGAGCGTAAAAAATAACAATGAAGTTACCTACACACACATATGTGTGTATAGATAGATAGTTCAAAGTAGTTTAGGGGGAAATGGCCCAGGTTAAGAGTTGCATAAAGTCAAGTCTGGATCCCGTGAAAGAGTAAAATGAACATGAAAAACATATAATAATAGTAATAATAATAATGGTTCAAATTAGTTTATAAATGAGGAAGTAGCCCAAGTTAAAAGTTGCATAAAGTCAGATTTGGATCCCATCGAATCAGCATAAAAATCATTATGAAGAGATCTATATAAATAAAAATGTAATGTTCGTTTGTGGGATTAACATAACTCAAAAACCACTAGACGAATTGACACCAAATTTGAACACAATACACCTATCAGGGCAACGAGTGACCATCACTCATAAAAACACTGAAAAGCACAGCAGAAGACACTTAAAAAGCCAAAAAATACATTACAACGCATGCGTAAAACCACATGTAAACACAAAGACACATATATACACAAATATATACACACACAAAACACGTATACACAGACTGGGCCACAGCAACGTATAGCAGGGGATGGCTAGGATAGATATATAGTATTGTAGAGAGAGAGAGAGAGATCCAGCTACTATATTACTTTTGGCACAAGTTAAAAGTTGCATAAAGTCAGGTCTGGATCCCATCAGAGAGCAAAAAAAAAAAAATCACCATGAAGACTATTATATTTATGTGTGTGTGTGTATACACATATGATGTAGTAATATATAATAACAACAACAACAACAACAATAATAAATTTCCAATTAGATTAGGGGGAAATGGCCCAAGTTGGAAGTTGCATCAAGTCAGATCTGGATCTCATCAGAGGGCAAAAAATCACCATGAAAAACTACATGTGTGTGTGTGTGTATAACAACAACAAAACAACATAGTTCCAAGTAGTTTGTGGAAAATGACCCAAGTTGGAAGTTGCATGAAGTCAGATCTGGATCCCATCAGAGAGCAAAAAAAAAAAAAAAAAAATCACCATGAAGACTATTATATTTTATGTGTGTGTGTATACACATATGATGTAGTAATATATAATAATAATAATAACAACAACAATAATACATTTCCAATTAGATTAGGGGGAAATGGCCCAAGTTGGAAGTTGCATGAAGTCAGATCTGGATCCCATCAGAGAGCAAAAAAAAATCATTATCTAACTATATATTTTAGTAGTAGTAATAATGATGATGTAATATAAAATAATAATAAACTAAAATAATAGTTTCAAGTAGTTTAGGGAGAAAATCACCATGAAGACATATATATGTGTGTGTAGTAGTAGTAGTAGTAATAACAATAATGGCCCAAGCTGGAAGTTTAAAAAGTCAGATCCCATCAACTCAGAAAAGTCATATATATATAAACAGTATCTCTTATTATTACTAGTAGGATTGTGATGATTGTGAATAAGCTTACCTTGGGGTGGGTTTTGGGGTGCTAGAGTGGGGGGAACCTCACATCCCCAGCTTCTCTATTGTTCTCCCTGCGGTCCGATGAGAGTTATTAGCCTCCACAAAATAATAATAATAATAATACACTAAATAATAATATTATTTAATATAATAATAAAAGGGGGAAAAAGAAGCAAAAGAACAGAAATAATAATAATCAAAATAATAAGAAATAATATTTCATAATCATAACAATAAAGGGAGGGGGAAAAAAGAACAGAAATAATAATCAAAATAAGAAGGAAGGAGGGAAAAGGACCCAAGAGGCTCCCCCTTTGGAACGTTGGGCCCTTCAACGTTCCATCCGGGGCGTGTTCTTGTGGAGGCTGTGGAACGTTGAGACCCTCAACGCTCCATCCGGGAAGAAGCAGCAGTAGCAGTAAGGAGAGAGAGAGAGGAAAAAAAACACAGTCGGGCGGGCGCAGGAAGCGAACAACAAAACGCCTCCCTCTACGAAAACAGTGCAATCCTTCTCCTCATCATCTTTGTGTTTCTCGTCCGCCGTCGCCCCTTCCTTAAAAGGCGCGGCCGGGCTGGTTTTCTCCCATGGTGTTTTCTCTCTCTCTTTTGCCCCCCTGATCCTTCTTCTTTCCTCTTTTCTCTTCTTCTTCTTCTTCTCCTTGGGCTTTTTTTTTTCTTCTTCTCTCTCTCTCTCTCTCTTTGCAGAAGACACGCAGCAAGGCCTCGCCTCCTCCTCCGAAAGGGGGATCCCTCCGCGGAAGCCCCGCCCCCACGAAGGAGGGAGGGAAGGAGGGAGGGAGGGAGATCAGGGAGGGAGGGAGGAAGCAAGGAGGCCGGCCTTAGCCTAGAGTCTATTATATAATAGGTTGCTATTTCTGTTATATAATTATTTATATTATTTCATATATTATATTTATATTATATATTTATATATCATATTATATATTTATAGTAATACTATCTATAATAATAATTCATAGAATCATAGAATCACAGTTGGAAGAGACCTCATGGGCCATCCAGTCCAACCCCCTGCCAAGAAGCAGGAATATTGCATTCAAAGCACCCCTGACAGATGGCCATCCAGCCTCTGTTAAAAGCTTCCAAAGAAGGAGCCTCCACCACACTCCGGGGCAGAGAGTTCCACTGCTGAACGGCTCTCACAGTCAGGAAGTTCTTCCTCATGTTCAGATGGAATCTCCGCTCTTGTAGTTTGAAGCCATTGTTCCGCGTCCTAGTCTCCAAGGAAGCAGAAAACAAGCTTGCTCCCTCCTCCCTGTGGCTTCCTCTCACATATTTATACATGGCTATCATATCTCCTCTCAGCCTTCTCTTCTTCAGGCTAAACATGCCCAGCTCGTTAAGCTGCTCCTCATAGGGCTTGTTCTCCAGACCCTTGATCATTTTAGTCGCCCTCCTCTGGACACATTCCAGCTTGTCAATATCTCTCTTGAATTGTGGTGCCCAGAATTGGACACAATATTCCAGGATGTGGTCTAACCAAAGAGAATAGAGGGGTAGCATTACTTCCCTAGATCTAGACACTATGCTCCTATTGATGCAGGCCAAAATCCCATTGGCTTTTTTTGCCGCAATCACATTGTTGGCTCATGTTTAACTTGTTGTCCACGAGGACTCCAAGATCTTTTTCACACGTACTGCTCTCGAGCCAGGCATTGTCCCCCATTCTGTATCTTTGCATTTCGTGTTTTCTGCCAAAGTGGAGTATCTTGCATTTGTCACTGTTGAACTTCATTTTGTTAGTTTTGGCCCATCTCTCTAATCTGTCAAGATCGTTTTGAATTCTGCTCCTGTCCTCTGGACTATTGGCTATTATTCAAACAAGTTAAGAAATTGGAAGAGTTAATCTAAATAATAGGTTCTTGTGGGTTTTTTCAGGCTATATGGCCATTTTCTAGAGGCATTCTCTCCTGACACTTCGCCTGCATCTATGGCAAGCATCCTCAGAGGTAGTGAGGATCCTACAACACTCACTACCTCTGGGGATGCTTGCCATAGATGCAGGCGAAACGTCAGGAGAGAATGCCTCTAGACCATAGTGCCTCTAGACCAGGGGTCCTCAAACTTTTTGAACAAGGGGCCAGTTCACTGTCCCTCAGACCACTGGAGGGCCGGACTATAGTTTTGTTTTTGTTTTTTTAAAGATGATCAAATTCCTGTGCACACTGCACATATCTTATTTTGAAGTTAAAAACAAAATGGGAGCAAATACAATATTTAAAATGAAGAAACACTTTAATTCAGGGGTCCTCAAACAGAGGGCCAGGTCACATTTCCTCAAACTGTTGGAGGGCCGGATTATAATTTGAAGAAAACATGAATAAATTCCTATGCACACTGCACATACTTTATTTGTAGTGCAAAAAACACTTGAAAACCATACAATAATTAAAATATGTTGTTCGGGCTTGGCCCCATGTAAGCCCCTCCTAGTCCCCATCGCGGATATGGTGGCGGGGTATAAATAAAGTTTATTATTATTATTAAAATGAATAACAATTTTAACAAATATAACCTTATTAGTATTCCAATGGGAAGTGTGGGCCCGCTTTTGGCGGATGAGATAGTGTTGTTATTGTTGTTGTTGTTGTGTGCTTTCAAGTCATTTCAGACTCCGGCCCAATTTACCTGTCCAAACATATCCTCCCCTATGAACTATCTAGATTGTTAAGATCGTCTGGAGGGGCCCTGCTCTCAATCCCACCGGCCTCACAGGCACAGCTGGTGGGGACGAGAGACAGGGCCTTCTCGGTGGTGGCCCCTCGACTCTGGAACTCCCCTCCACTGGAGATCAGAACTGCCCCTTCTATCTTAACGTTCAGGAAACAGGTGAAAACTTGGCTTTGGGGATTGGCATTCGACGAATGAGCCATGATCCTGTGACATGGATGGATGACGACGAATAATGATTTTTGATGACGACTGGCCACTGTAATTATATGATTGTATTTTGCTATTTTAATGTTTTACTGTGATTTAGAATATGATGTTTTAATTACTGTCTGTAATATTGATGTTGGAAACCGGCCCTCGAACGGAGGTGAGAAGACCGGGATACAAAACTGCTAAATAAATTAAATAAATTAAGTTGACCCTGAGCAAGGCCCGGGTAAATGACCTTCAAGGGCCGTATCCGGCCCCCGAGCCTTAGTTTGTTCTCAAATAAAATGCTGTGTCCAGGTTGGTTCATCAGGTGCTCTGCTATGGCTGACTTCTCTGATTGAAGTAGTCTGCAGTGCCTTTCATGTTCCTTGATTTGTGTCTGGGCAATGCTGCTGCGTTTGGTGGTCCCTATGTAGACTTGTCCACAGCTGCATGGTACACGGTAGACTCCTGCAGAGGTGAGAGGATCCCTCTTGTCCTTTGCTGAACGTAGCATTTGTTGGATGTTCTTGGTGGGTTTGTAGATTGTTTGTATGTTGTGTTTCCTCATCAGCTTCCCTATGCGGTCAGTGGTTCCCTTGATGTATGGCAGGAATACTTTTCCTCTGGGTGGATCTTTAATTTACCGTATACCATGCAGCTGTGGACAAGTCTACATAGGGACCACCAAATGCAGCATTGCCCAAACACGAATCAAGAAACATGAAAGGCACTGAAGACTACTTCAACCAGAGAAGTTAGCCATAGCAGAGCACCTGATGAACCAATCTGGTTACACAGCATTTTACTTGAGAACACAGAAATGCTGGACCACACCAACAACCACCATGTCAGACTACACAGAGAAGCCATTGAAATCCACAAGCATGTGGACAATTTCAACAGAAAAGAGACCATGAAAATGAACAAAATCTGGCTACCAGTATTAAAAAAAACTCTAAAATTACAACAGCAAAACATCAGAGAGGAAACAACCAGGCACAGATTAACACCTCCCAGCAAGAGATTTTCCCAGGCTCAGGCTAATGAAGGTGATCAGCTGAAACATTCACACCTAGCTCCAGCAGAGAAGAACTCTTTGCCGCACCCCAGCCATTCCACAGATATATAAACCCATTGTCCTATTTCCAACAGACCTCACTACCTCTGAGGATGCTTGCCATAGATGCAGGCGAAACGTCAGGAGAAATGCCTCTAGAACATGGCTCTATAGCCCGAAAAAAGCCACAAGAGATTATAAAATTATTATTATTATTATTATTATTAAACTTTATTTGTACCCCACTAGCATCTCCCGAAGGACTCGATGCGGCTTACAAAGGCCAAGGCCTCAACACAACAACAGCAAACAATAACAATACAATTCAAAGCGAATTAAAAACATAAGCAATAACAAAACATTACATCATTACGCAATAAAAACCAGGGCCGGGCAGTGATGGGTACAGGTTAAAAAGTGCTGGGTGTGGCAGGTGGTATGTTGGGATTCTGGGCAAGTGCAATGTGCAGAGAGTCTTAAACTCTAATAAAGTGCTTCTGGGACGTAGTGCTGGAGGTTATCCTATTCAGGAAAGGCACATCGGAATAGCCAGGTCTTCAGATTCTTCCTAAAGACTGCCAACGTGGGTGCTAATCTAATGTCTTTGGGGAGGGTGTTCCAGAGTCGGGGGGCAACCACAGAGAAGGCCCTGTCCCTCGTCCCCACCAGACACGCCTGTGACGCAGGTGGGATCGCAAGCAGGACCTCTCCAGATGATCAGAGGGAGCGTGCGGGTTTGTAGACGGAGATGCGGTCACACAGGTAGGGTGGTCCCAAACTGTTCAGGGCTTTGTAGGTAAGCACCTGCACCTTGAATTGGGCTCGGTAAGTAAACGGCAGCCAGTGGAGCTCCTTGAACAGGAGGGTTGACCTCTCTCTGTAAGGAGCCCCAGTTAACATCCTGGCTGCTGCCCGTTGGACCAGTTGGAATTTCCGAGCCGTTTTCAAGGGCAGCCCCACGTAGAGCGCATTACAGTAATCCAATCTAGAGGTGACCAAGGCATGGACCACCCCGGCCAGATCAGCCTTTGCGAGGTACGGTCGCAGTTGGCGCACGAGTCTCAATTGTGCAAAAGCCCTCCCGGACACCGCTGACGCCTGAGCCTCAAGCGTAAGCGATGAATCCAAGAGGACTCCCAAACTGCGGACCTGTGGACTTCAGGGGGAGTGTAACCCCGTCCAGCACAGGTTGCCACCCTATACCCCGGTCAGGTTTACGATCGACCAGGAGGACCTCTGTCTTGTCGGGATTGATCTTCAGCTTCTTCCTCCTCATCCAGATAGACACAGCGGCCAGGCACTCGTCCAGCACCCGAGAGGCCTCCTTGGAATTAGGTGGAAAGGAGTAGTAGAGTTGTGTGTCATCTGCATAGAGGTGGCACCTAACTCCAAAACTCCGGATGACCTCTCCCAGCGGTTTCATGTAGATGTTGAAAAGCATGGGAGACAGAATAGAGCCTTGCGGGACCCCACAGGTCAAAGGCCAGGGGTCCGAGCAGGCGTCTCCCAGCTTCACCATGGGCCATCCAGTCCAACCCCTTGCCAAGAAGCGGAAATATTGCATTCAAAGCACCCCTGACAGATGGCCATCCAGCCTCTGTTTAAAAGCTTCCAAAGAAGGAGCCTCCACCACATTCCAGGGCAGAGAGTTCCACTGCTGAACGGCTCTCACAGTCAGGAAGTTCTTCCTCGTGTTCAGATGGAATCTCCTCTTTTGTAGTTTGAAGCCATTGCGTCCTAGTCCCCAGGGAAGCAGAAAACAAGCTTGCTCCCTCCTCCCTGTGGCTTCCTCTCACATATTTATACATGGCTATCA